GATTTTGCTCTCAGCCTCGGATTGGACTCGTATTACAAGTCACGTTCAAAACATTCAACTGACAACAACAGACTGACGATTTAATTTTTATCAAACATTCAATTTATTCACTTCTAACCTTCATAGTGAACTCGATTTTACTTCTAATCTTCGTATCGGAATCTATTTACATTTCATTATACTGATTTTTTTGCTCTCAGCCTCGGATTTATGGGATCGTATTACATCTCAGCCTCGGATTGATCATGTTTTTATATTAAATTTAAAAGATATGATCAAGGGCGCCAGGACAGACGGATTGGGTTTTAAATGTGTGTGATTGTTTCAGTTATTCGTATATTTCTAATTGAATTGATATATGTTTGTTTCTAAATGGATACTAAATAGTGTTCACTTATCTTTCCACCCAACGGTCTTTCTGGTTTGAATCAGCCGTTACGATATGAATACATTTACACGTCCACCAACGGTCTTTCTGGTTTGAATCAGCCGTACGATATGAATATTTACCGTTGTACTATCCGTGCCAAGCAGCGCCGGCGTCGCTTCGTTAGCGCGATTACTTTCCTTAATAAGTTAATCAAATTTGATTAACTTATTAAAATCCGCCCTTGATCCGAGGCTGAGATGTAACTCAAGTCCAATCCGAGGCTGAGAGCAAAAAAAATCAGCATAACGAAATGTAAATAGATTCCGATACGAAGGTTGGAAAAAAATCGACTCCACTATGAAGGTTAGGAGTGAATAAGTTGAATGTTTGATGATTTACACGTCAGTCTCTTTAATGTTTTGAACGTGACTTGTAATTCAAGTCCAATCCGATGCCTCATTGACATCAAAATCAGAAGTACATTTTTCACAACTGCTGGTTGCGAAAGACAGTTTTACACCACAGGATTTACAGTAATGCATCATTCCTTTCCACGACCAAACAAGATGAAGTTTTTAGTACTCCTGAAACTCCGTTGATTACTCTGAGTCGCCATCTTTAGAACCTGCTCCCTCTCGTCCAAAACTAAATGCGCGCGCAGGCTTCAGTCTTTTTTGTTTGCAGCGTTTGTCTTTTATTTTGTGTTTTTCGTTTTTCTTTGCATCGTTTCTTATTTCGTTTGCATCATTTATTTTTTGTTTGCATCATTT